CCTATACTGAAAAGAGGGTAAAACTAAAATGCATATTATGGGTTACATAAATTCTGAGTGATTCATGGTATGAGGCTGTTTTACATGCCTCATACTTCATTCGTGATCTGGATGGGTTTATGAAAGAGGGGTGCGTTTTAAATTGTACTAAGGACTCCGACGTATTTTGCTTTCTGTTGGTAGCTAAGTATTTGACTTTACCCCCCAAATGTCTTGGTTTTTTGTTTTGTTTTTTTGTTTTTTTGGGTGTTGGTCATGGGGCTTGAACTCTGGGCTTGGGCTCTGTCCCTGTGCTCTTCAGCTCAAAGCGAGCGCTCTACCGCTTGAGCCACAGTGCCACTTCCGGTTTTCTAGTGGTTTATTAGAGATAAGAGTCTCACGGACTTTCCTGCCTGGGCTGGCTTTGAACTGTGATCCTCAGATATCAGCCTCCTGATTAGCTAGGATTATAAGCACGAGCCACCGGCACCTGGCTAATGTCTTGTTTTTAAAAAATAAAACTTAACTAGTTCTTGGTGCTGTAACTCCTTCCTTTGCTATCTAGGACAAGTTGATATCAACTGAGGAGAGTGAAGGGGTGCAGTTACAGTGAAAGCAGGGCTATTGTGTGGCTGTAGATAACAAGAATGGACAAAGGGAAACTTCTTGTTCAGTCCTGTCCTTCACTACCCTCAACATCTGCTTGAAACCGGTTCATTCTCAATGACTGTAATTATCATCAGATACACTCTGAGAGATTACTTGTATCCATGATCAGCTTTTACATTTACATCGAACAGTTTCAGAGTGAGATATGCTCAAGAATTTTAATTTCATGCAAATGTTGCAAACATGCAAAAATGTTAACAAACTATTCCCTAAGGGTAAGTTACAAAATAAAAATGTTTAAACCTTCAGTGCTGCCCTTCTTTGTATTCTAGTTCCAACTTTTTTGTTGGAAATTAATTTTTAACTTTGATCTGCGAATGCAGTCAAATGCATCTCCATAGAATTTAATGCTTAAGATAATTTCCAATGAGTAAGTAGCAGTGAAATAATCTGATCAGTTCCTGTCATTCTCCCTTACTCAATTTTTAGAGTAGTGGGAAAAAATTAACTTCGCTGGCCTAACACACATAAGTGTCATGCTGACACTCCCTGCCAGCCAAGCCACACACAAGTTAGTAAAGATATCAGGCATTTCAGTGGCAGCACAATGGTTCTCCTGAAGCCCTTTGTTAGTGAGGTTCACTGTGACTTAATTTGATCCCCCTCAAATTTATGCGACTCATAAATCTATGTGCCTGCTTCAGGATAGCAACTACCATGTTCTGTATGTTACCATCTTTCTTCCTTCCTGGCTCCAAAGTTTAATTCTCGCCTTTCCTCCAATCCATGCCTCTTTCTTTGGTCTCAGGTCCTTGTTTTCCCTGGGTGATTGGCAGTGATTCAGATGGGCTGCCTGATGGGGCCCACCAAGGAGCAACTCCCTTTCTTGATTGGCCAAGTTATCTACACCTCCATTTCTCCTACATGTCCTCCTTCTCTTTGTGGTATCAAAGCTGGTTGGAAATGTTGTGGGGGGCACGTATCCTATAAGAGTTGCTTGAAAAAAAAAAAAGGATATTTGAAACAGGCATAGAAAAATACAGAAGCAGTTGTGTTCAGAAAGCAGAAATTTAGATCCTAAGGAAATACATTTAAGGCACCACTGTATAATAAAAAGAAAAAACTTGGCAATTAAGAAACTTATTCAGAAGGAAATAAATGACATTTTAAAATTACAAATAGAATGGTTTGTAAGCTAACCTTGAGTAAGTGCAAATAAAACAGTGTGCTCAGCTGCTTTTACCACACTTAGAAAACGTTTGCTCTTGGTCCACTCATTTACTCTAGTGCTGTTGGAATACAGCAGTGCTGTTTCCCTGTGCAGTTGCAGTGATTAGGATATGCATATCAGGAAATGTTTAAATGTAAACAATTATGATACTATGTTCAGTCCACAAACTAGGTACACAGAATGTTGTCACTTATTTTATCAATTGAAAATTTTTCTGATCTTTCTTTTTCTCTTTTCTCGTCCCCACCCCACACATGTTTGCTAGCTGGCACTGTGCCAGTTAAACCACATCTCTGACCTGGCTTTTTATTTTTGCTGGTTCTTTTGGAGATGGACCCTTACTTATTTCTTTGTCCAGTCTGGCCTTGTACCATAATTCTATAAATCTTAGCCCCTGTGAATAGCTAGGATTACAGGGTTGAGCTGCCTTAATGCAGCTTATAGTAGCATTTTAGTTAAGAATAAGAGTATACTTGTGTATAAATCCCAACTCTGACACTTAGTAGGCTGCCTGGTACCCTCTTCTGTGGATGTTAATGACCATCTCCATTTTACACTAGCATAGTGGGCTCACTAACTTTTTAAGGTCACTCAACTGACCGAGTAGTGAAGTTTGGACATGGGTACTGGCCCATGGGTGCTCTACAATACTGCCTTTCATAGTGTGTCTTTGAATGTGTACACCAGTTGATACATAATGAATGCTAACAAAGCACAGATTATATTTATTATCAGGCCAAAACTGTGATCACAGTACAAGTCCTTGGGACTTAGTTACATTGCTCGCACCAGCAGGCAGCATAGGCATCAATTCCCAAGTTGCATCTTCCATGTGACCTGAAGTGAATGTGCAATTGGTGCAGCCTCCCTCAGCTGATAGATAGGATGACTTTAAGAACAGTTGGTTCTGCTGCCCCCTTAGATCCGAACAGTGGCCAGAAGAAGCAACTGTAGTGAGACAAAGACTGAGCGTTGCAGAGTATACTCAAAAATCGGACGCGCAGTTAGGTATGTGGAAGTGTGATCCTGCATTTGCTCTCGGGTACTGTTTTCTTTAGCCCACCTTTTCTTTTTTATCCTGGTTCTTGATGAACCTATTGCCATTCTTAAATTCTTGGTCTTTCGCTGACTTGGCCTTCTCTCTTTTCTAACCTAGAAAAGCCTCCACAAAAAGTAGAAAAGGGCAGAAATTACTTAGAAGGCTGGAGAACATAATGAAGGGGAAATGGCATAGAATTGGGATCTCTAAGAGACTTTTAAATATTGCCTTCACTTTTGAGGCTGCGTATTTTTCCATTTTGCTAAGCAGTTATTACACTGCAGAAGTAGCCATCTTTTACACTTTCCTAAAAACCTTTGCTAGTCTCTTTAATTCAGAACTAAAATTCTTTTAATTCTGACTCTAGTTCTCTCTTGTTTTTTCATATTTAAAATAGTATTTTCTTTCTCTTTCTTGCTCTTCTTTCTTCTTTCTTTCTTTCTTTCTTTCTTTCTTTCTTTCTTTCTTTCTTTCTTTCTTTCTTTCTTTCTTTCTTTCCTTCTTTCTTTCTTTCTTTCTTTCTTTCTTTCTTTCTTTCTTTCTTTCTTTCTTTCTTTCTTTCTTTCTTTCTTTCCTTCCTTCCTTCCTTCCTTCCTTCCTTCCTTCCTTCCTTCCTTCCTTCCTTCCTTCCTTCCTTCCTTCTTTCGTTTGTTGTGGGGCTTGAACTCTAGGCCTGGGTGTTGTCCCTCAGCTCTTCAGCTCAAGGCGAGCGCTCTACCACTTGAGACACAGTGCTACTTCCGGTTTTCTGGTGGTTTATTGCATATAAGAGTCTCAAGGAGTTTCCTGCCCAGTTTGGCTTTGAACTGTGATCCTCAGATCTCAGCCTCCTTAGTAGCCAGGATTACAGGTGAGCCACCAGGACCTAGCTTAGTATTTCATTTTTGATAGTGATGACCAGTGTGATTACACTGATTCTTTTGTCCTTAACTTTCTTACAGAAAGGAATTCAGTAATCTGGAGCTATAATGATTCTCCCCGCCCATAATCAATTGTTGCCCTGAGTTTTTGAGTGCATTAAAGACTATTGGTGATGACAGCTAGAACCAACTGAGGGATTTGAGGGGGGAGGGTGCAGGTGAGATAATGGAATGTGACAAAGCAAACCATGGTGCATTGTGCAGGGAAGGAGTCTAACTTCCAAAAAGAGAGGGCAAGGGAACCAGACATCTGTGGCTCACACCTGTAATCTTAGATACTCAGGAGGCTGAGATATGAAGATCCCTGTTCAAAGTCAGCCTCGGCAAGAAAGGCCGTGAGACTCTTCTCTAATTAGCTACCAAAAGGCCAGAAGTGAAGCTGGGCCTGCAACTGTATGATCTGAGGATCGTGATTCAAAGCTAGCCTGGTCAGGAAAGTCCATGAGACTCTTTCAAAATAAGCCAGAAGTGGAGCTGTGGTCAATGCTAGTCTTGAGCACAAAAGCTCAGGGATGGTGCCAAGGCCTTGAGTGTAAGTCCCAGGATCAGCACAATGGGAGGGGAAGAAGAGAGGTGGGGGAGGAAGGAGGAGGAGGAAGAAAGGGCAGGAGATCCAGTCATGTGAGCCTTCTAAGGGAAGCAGGAAGAGAGAGCCTCCATTTTGAGGAGTACTATTTAAGAATCCTTGCACAGGGATCCGGGACAACACATGGGTGTCAGATCTACTAGCTAAATTTAGAAGCCTTCAATTTAGAATTATAGCACTGCCTCTTCCCTAGGTGAACTATTACAGCACAGACATGACATTGGCCAACCCAAAACAGAGACTGGGAGGAGCCCCTTACAACACCTGTAGTTTCCACATAGTACAACAACGCCCCTGAAACTGCAGGCTGCAGCCTAGGCCTAGTCTAGCAGAAAGCAACTCATGGTGCTTTTGTAATCCAGCTCCTGTCTAAAGAGTCTGGACTCACTGAGGTAGGCTGGTTTGTTTCATGTTATTAACCTTTCCATTTGCTTAACCTTTTAGGCAAGGTTAAACAAAATAAAAGACAACTTTGTAAGTACAAATTATACAAGCACATATAGCAAAACAATGTGTTAATTGCTTTGTTACTGTTGTCAAATTTCTGATGAAAGTCAAAGTTGTTTGTTGACAAAATGATCAGACACTTTATCAACAGCCCATTTACTCTTTCTTTTTCCTTGTTTTCTTTTATAGTTGCTGATATGTGTTCAAGATGAGTGGGATGGGAGAAAATACCTCTGACCCATCCAGGTCAGAGACAAGGAAGCGAAAGGAATGTCCTGATCAGCTTGGACCCAGGTTAGAGTTTTACTTTTTAAAAAATCAGTATTAACAGCCGGGCACCGGTGGCTCATGCCTATAATCCTAGCTATTCAGGAAGCTGAGATCTGAGGATCATGGTTCAAAGCCACCCCGGGCAAGAAAGTCCGTGAGACTCTTACCTCCAATAAACCACCAGAAAACTGGAAATGGCGCTGTAGCTCAAGTGGTAGAGTGCTAGCCTTGAGCTGAAGAGCTGAGGGATAGCGCCCAGCCCCAGAGTTCAAGCCCCATGGTCGACAAAAAAAAAAAAAAATTAGTATTATCTATGAAAGGATCCATCACATCCATCTGAGGGGACCATGCAGAAGCAGGCAGGCACAGGAGAAAGATTATTGCAAGGTTTATTAGAGGAGCCATATTTGCCCTGGAGAGAGAGCACATGGCGGCCTCCACTATCCAAGTATCAGTAGGGTCTTGGGGTAGGAAGTGAGGTCAATGGGAGTTCAGGTGGGGTCTGGGTTATTTTAGCATTTACTACTAATTCAAATACCATGTTTGGTTTTTCTCCTTTACAACTGAAGTTTTAAATATTGTAGTAGCAGTAGCTTAAATTTCAAATATACTAATCAGTTACCGATTTTATTTTTCTTTACACTCAGAGGAAAACCATATGCTTTTTTTGTGTGTGCTGATCCTGGGGTGTGAATTCAAAATCTGAGCATTATCCTTATACTTCTTTTGCTCAAGGCTAGTGCTCTACTACTTGAGCCAAAGCTTTATGGTTTTTTGGATTTGGGGATTTTATTCTTGGTAGTTTTTTGGAGATAGGAGTCTCATAAACTCACCTGCCCAGTCTGGCTTCAAATTCTGCTTCTCATATCTCAGCCTCCTGAGGAGGTAAAATTATAGTCATAAGCTACTGTTCCTGGCTGAAAACGATATACTGCTTTTTTTTTTTGGTCATTTGTGGGGCCTAGTGCTGAGCTCTTTTGCTCAAGGCAAATTTTGCTCTACCACTTTGAGCCACAGCTCTACTTCCAGTTTTCTGGAGGTTAATTGGAGATATGAATCTCACAGACTTTCATGCCCAGTCTGGCTTTGAACCACAATCTTTAGATCTCAGCCTCCTGTGTAGCTAGGATTACTGGCATGAGCCACGAGTACCCTGGGAAACTGTATACTTTTTGATGGCCCTTTGTACTTTTATAGTCAGTTCATTTGCTCTATAATCAATGTATGTTTTCCTCTTACGTCACAGAATGTTATAAGAAATCCTGTAGTGGGCTGGGAAGGTGGCTCAGTGGTAGAGTGCTTGCCTTGCATGCATGAGGCCCTGGGTTTGATTCCTCAGCAACTCATAAGCAAAAAAGAAAAAAGCCGGAAGTGGCGCTGTGACTCAAGTGGTAGAGTGCTAGCCTTGAGCTGAAAGAGCTGAGGGACAGCGCGCAGGCCCAGAGCTCAGGCCCCACGACCGGACCAAAAAAAAACAAAAACAAAAACAAAAGATAAGGATAAAAAAGAAATCCTGTAGTAAAAGGATTTGCTGTGTTTTATGCTGCATTATTTGTTTTATTTTCATAAGAACAGATTGTAGGTCTTAAGTGCAAAAAAAATTTTAAGCAAGTATGGATGATAGTGAGAATTGTTAGACTCTCCATGCAGGCTAATTTGGCTTTATCAGAATTATACATGCCTATCCTCATTGTGTTGATTTTGTTTGCTTTGGTTTGGTTTTTATTTTATTTTTCTGTTATTTTTGTGCTGGAGCATGAACTTAGAACCTGTCACTTAGTGTTAATTGGCGATAAGCATCTCACAGCCTTTCCTGCCCAGGCTGATTTTGAACCACAATCCTCAGATCTCAGCCTCCTGAGTAGCTTCGGATTAAAGGCATGAGCCACTGGCATTGGTAATATCCTGTTTTATCCTAGCATTTTCCCTTCTAAGAATTTTTCTATATACACTTCTGTAAATGCAAAATATATATGTGCCTGTAATCCTAGATACTCAGAAGGCTGAGATATGAGGATCACAGTTCAAAGACATCCAGGCAGGAAAGTCTGAGACTCTTATCTCTAACTACCAAAAGAGGCAGAAGTAGAACTGTGGCTCAAGTGGTAAAACATCACCCTTGAGCACCAAAGCTCAACAGCATCCAGGCCTTGAGTTCAAGTCCCAGGATCAGCGTATGTGCACACGTGCATGCATACACACACACACACACACACACAAACACACAAAAACACACACACACACACACACACACAAGTGATAATAAAAATAAAAAGAAATAGCCAGGTGCTTGCGGCTCATGCCTGTAATCCTAGCTACACAGGAGACTGAGATTTGAGGATCATGGTTCAAAGCCAGCCTGTGCAGGAAAGCCTGTGAGACTCTTATATCCAATTAAGCACTAGAAAACCAGAAGTGGTACTGTAGCTCAAAGTGGTAGGGCACTAGCCTTGACCAAAAAAGCTTAGGGACCATGCCCAGGATCTGAATTCAAGCCCCAGGATGGACAGACAGACAGACAGACAGATGGGAGGGAGAAAGGGAGAGAAATATATAGAAATATATTATGAATTGCAAAATTTTTTAATTAATATATTCAATTACATATAAAAGAAGCAACTGGGTGCCAGTGGGTCATACCTGTAATCCTAGCTACTCAGGCGGCTGAGAGGATTACGGTTCAAAGCCAGCCCAGGAAGGAAAGTCTGTGAGATTCTTACCTCCAGTTAAACATCAAAAAGACAGAAGGCGGGGGGGGGGGGGGCTGGGAAGATGGTTCAGTGGTTGAGTGCTTGCCTTGCATGCATGAGGCACCACATAAACATAAAAAGCCAGAAGTGGCACTGTGGCTCAAGTGGTAGAGTGCTAGCCTTGAGCTGAAGAGCTGAGGGACAGCGCCCAGGCCCAGACTTGAGGCCCCCACGACCGACCAAAAAAAAAAAAAAGACAGAAGTGGAGCTGCGGTTGGAGTGGTAGAACGCTAGCATTGAGCACAAAAGCTCAGGGTAGTGCCTAATTCCTAAGTCAAGCCCCAGAACTGGCAATAAATAAATAAATAAAATTCAAGCAGCTTCTATTTTATTAAACAACTCTTTTAGTGTTTTGAATATCATTTAGTGGGTCTTTCACTGTACTTGTACAAAACAATTATACAGTTAATATCTGAGTTTGCTATTCCATTCAAATGAGATGATTTTGCCAATTTTGGTATTTTCCTTCTCCATTGACTTTTTAACACTTTACTTGAATTTGGACCCTTTGAATTTCATATGTCATTCAGCTTGGACAGTTAACAAATATACTGTATTAGTTTCACTTTTGCTGCCTATTGTAACTTCTTGTATTATCTACAGAGGCTGCAGGATCTGATTACTAACACTTTTAAAAAGTCTATACAATTATAAAGATTTCTTTTTTATTATCTCAATGTTTTACAAGAAAGTCATTGCAATTTTTTATAACTGGAAATAATAGCTTTCTTCTTTTAGTTATCTTAAGTAAAATTTTTACAAATGTAACCTCCCTAGCTGGGTGTGAGTAGCCATACTTATAATCCTAGCTACTCAGGAAGCTGAGGTCTGAGAATTGCAGCTCAGAGCCAGCTCAGGCAGAAAAGTCTTGATACTCTGTCTCCAGGTAACTAAAAAAATGTCAGACTAGAGGCTTGGCTCACATGGTAGAGCATGATCAGTTTACTCACAAGCCAAGTGAGAGTAAAAATCCCTCTTTGTTCAAACACCAGAAAAGGCATAAATAAATAAATAACTTGTTGGCCGGGCGCTGGTGGCTCATGCCTGTAATCCTAGCTACTCAGGAGACTGAGATCTGAGGATCATGGTTCAAAGCGAGCCTGAGAAGGAAAGTCCCTGAGATCTTTATCTCCAGTAAACCAACAGAAGACCGGCAGCACTATGTTTCAAGTGGTAGAGTTCTTGCTTGCCTTGAGCTGAAGAGCTAAAGGACAGCAAGCACCCAGGCCTAGAGTTCAAGCCCCACGGCTGACAAAAATAGATAGGTAGATAGACAGATAGATAGATAGATAGATAGATAGATAGATAGATAGATAGATAGATAGATAAAATGTTACCTCCTTTACCTTTTCAAAATATTTCTTTATTTGCATAACAATAAATCCAGTTCCCACTTGTGTGCAACTTCATCAAGTAAGGACAGTATTGAGCATAATCATGCAGATCCTGGTCGTGTAGAATCTGACAGCCCAGTGTGAGACAGTAGGCACCTTGATTATTTAATTACACAAGTTATAAATATATAACTATGTAGTAGTATAAACTTAGGCTTGTTTTTTAATAGTTTTTTTTCCCAGTCCTGGAGCTTGAACTCAGAGCCTGAGTACTATCCCTGAGCTGCTTTTGCTCAAGGTTAGTATCCTACCACTTGAGCCACAACTCCACTTCTGGCTTTTATTTATTTTTTTATTTTTGGTAATATACTGGAAATAAATGTCTCACAGGCTTTCCTGCCTGGACTGGCTTCGAACTATGATCCTCAGAGCTCAGCCTCTTAAATTAGCTAGGATTACAGGCATGAACCACTGGCACCTGGCAAGTGTAGGTTTTAAAGGGCATGCAATATTTTTGGACAACCTCCCTTTCCCCAGCCAAAGAACTTCTGTGTTTATATAGGTAGCTTTTATTTGTCGTGTCTGTATTAAAATTGGCTTATCAGCCAGGCGCCGGTGGCTCACACCTAGTAATCCTAGCTACCCAGGAGGCTGAGATCTGAGGATCTCGGTTCAAAGCCAGCCTGGCAGGAAAGTCTGTGAGACTCTTATCTCCAGTAAACCACTAGAAAACCAGAAGTGGCGCTGTGGCTCAAGAGGTAGAGTGCTCTCCTTGAGGTGAAGAGCACAGGGACAGTGCCCAAGCCCAAAGTTCAAGCCCCACGACTGACAAAAAGTAAAATAAAATAAAATAAATAAAATAAAGTTGGTTTATCAGCTAGTTGCTGGTGGCTTCTGCCTAAGTGGAACTGTGGTTAAAATGGCAGAGTACTAGCCCTGAGCAAAAAAGTTCAGGAACAGAACCCTGAGTTCAAGCCCTGGGATGGTACAAAAAAAAATTTTATTATATATTTTCATAATAGCTCAGTTTCAAATACATAATAAAAATGTGTTTCTTCTTTTTAGCCCCAAAAGAAATACCGAGAAACGTAATCGTGAACAGGAAAATAAGTATATTGAAGAACTTGCAGAGCTTATTTTTGCAAATTTTAATGATATAGACAACTTTAACTTCAAACCTGACAAATGTGCAATCTTAAAAGAAACTGTGAAGCAAATTCGCCAGATCAAAGAACAAGGTAAGGGGACTGAATTCATATATCTGAACAGTTAAGTTGGTTTCTCTTTTTCCATGTATGAGAAGGCCCTTCAGAGTCTCTTTAATCCATTTCTTAGGCTTACATTATTGATGAGAAAATGATGTCACAGTGTAAGATGAATGCAAGTATCACTTGCAGTGGTTTATAAATAGGCTTTATATAAAATTCAGCCATTCCCAAGACAGGGGACCGAGGTAAATTGGGATGATGTAACTTTTCATCTGCTAAACTCAGCTAGGAGCCCACTCATTCTTCTCCCCCACTAGGACTTTTCAAATCTTACACAGCAAGTGACTATCATAATTCACAAGTGAGAGTAGGTGGAGATGTAAACCAGAAGTGAGGAAGTGAAGCACCTCTAGTTTCAGCTAGTCAGCATATTTGATTACGTCTGAGCCTCCACTGGTCTTGCCAATGGATTAGAATTACATATCCTGAATGACAAGAGGTTGGAAAGGCTATAATCACTAGGAAAAATTCTTTTGTGAAGTTAAAACACAGAACATGAACACTTTCGTCCAGTGGTTTTCTTTTTTTCCTAAGATCATTTTGTGCTTCTATTCTTTGATATTTTTGCCTACAGAAAAAAAGTAAGTAATATTTTTTAAAAAATACATTTGTCTTGTGGTGCCAAAAATCAATCTTTATTGGGCATATATTAACAGCATCCAGTGCTGGGGTGAATACAGGCTCTGAAGTATCTGTATACAAGTCTCCTGCAGGGCCAGGAATATCATTATCTCTCCTGTTTTCCAGTGGATCCTCTTGAAGTTCATGTTTTTTAATCTCCCTTTTATATAATATTCAAACAGGTAGACTTTAAAAGTATGTCTTTGTCTTTATAGATTTGTGAGCCTCCAATTGTGCTATTAGTCATAAAGTGCTATCTGTTAGCATATTATCATCATAGCATTTTTCATTTTCATATATATTCTAATGAACAGAGTTCTATGTAGAAGAGTTTCACAAATAAAGGTCTGTCTTGTAAGAACTTACATACATTGGTCTGGGAATGTGGCTTAGTGGTAGAATGCTTGCCTCACATGCATGCTCTGGGTTCCATTCCTCAGTACCACATAAACAGAAAAAGCCAGAAGTGGCGCTGTAGCTCAAGTGGTAAGAGTGCTAGCCTTGAGCAAAAAGAGGCAATAAAAAAAAATAAATAAAAAAGGGCTGGGAAGGTGGCTCAGTGGTAGAGCGCTTGCCTTGCATGCCTGAGGCCCTGGGTTCAGATTCCTTAGCACCACATAAGCAAAAAGAAAAAAGCCGGAAGTGGCACTGTGGTTCAAGTGGTAAAGCGCTAGCCTTGAGCTGAAGAGCTGAGGGACAGCGCCAGAGTTCAGGCCCCACGACCGGACCCCCCCCCCCCCCAAAAATAAATAAATAAATAAATAAATAAAAAGGGAACTTACATGCATATAGCATACACAGGGCAATTTCTAATACCAGCCTACTCTGGAAACCAGTTTCACTTTCCTAGTTTCTTTAGCAAAGTTAACTCCATCAACATTCAAGTTTTCTTCCCTTAGTGTATTAGCTTCCCTTCCTCATTTTTCTCTTTTTCCTCTTACCAAAACTCTGTTTTAATTTTGTACCTTTGTTCATTTAGGCTATAAATGAATGGATGAAAGAATATTCCTAGAACTCTTAGAAAAAAAGGTTTCATGTCTTTTATGTCTGAACATAATCATATGTGTATTTTTAACCACTGTGAAAGTCTTACATTGGTTTTTAAGGTTTTACAAAACCTTGGTAATTCCCCACTCAAACCATAAAACAGGTTAAGATGTGTCACGCTGGGCCTGTGCCATGCCTAAACTACTCTAGTGTTAATCATAAGGTGCATACCGCAGCCACCCAAGAAGCAGCAATAATAAACACCTTGTCACACTGTATTCTTTCAATCACGTGCCTACAGATTTGAAAAGCAATCTAATTGGAAAAGGGAAGCAAACATTAAATAAAAATGAAAAGTACAAATATGCTTTTAACCTCATAACTAGTATTTCAGGAATGTTCCTTGTTTAACACATGGTTTTTGTTTAGAAGAGCAAAATCACACCAGAAAATCATGTTGCCACCTACCTTTCGGAGCCTTAGCAAATTATTTCATCTCTGTGAGACAGTCTCCTCGGATTGTCTGTGGAAGCACTCAGCAAGAACCTGTTACAATATATGTTCATTAGCTGGTAGCTTTCTTTCTCACATGAAGCAAAAAGGCAGCTTTTCTCTCTCTTCTGTGCTAACATCATCTGATAGTGACTTCTTCCTTCATATGGAAAGCGAAAGAAAAAAGGTTGAAGGGTGATTATCTTTTCTCCAGGGTCACTTAAAGAAATTAAATATTTTCTAGAGCCAGAGAACTGTGCATAGACTGTGCATCACTCACCACTGATGCTCTGGTTGGGCCTGTTTGAGTTCTCTCTCAGTATGTTCTAGAGCAACACCTAAGTCAGGCTAAGTCATTCTGCCTGTTGCCCAACCGCTCCATCACTTCTGTTGCCAATCATTATAAATAATAAGTGAAACCCAACTTGCATCTTTCTACCATTATCCCAAACTTGGTATTTCAGCCTCACCTGTCACCTTGACTAAAACTAACTCGAGAGTTTATGAAAATATACCTAAGTAGTAAGTCCGTGTTTCAATACCAGTAATTAATAATAACAGTCTTCACTCATTTTTTGTAACTTTTTAAAGAGACTTAGATATATTCAGAGGCACCTCTATTCAAACTTAAATACAGAGGGGCTGTGAGGCCCCTGAATTCAAGCCCCAATACCAGAAAAAAATGGTATGAGGGCACAAATTTCATCATAAAGTCTATTGATAACATATTATTGGTACATTTTCTTCATAAGTCTTTTGGCTTCTGTTTGCTTTGTTTAATGTTTCTGTATTTTGTTGATATGTATGGTACATGATATTTATGATCAAAATTCTATCTTAAGTGAATAGTAGCATTTTGATTTACTTTTCACCATAATTTTCTTTTACCATTTCTGTTTGTGTGACCAATGCTAGTCCATGAAATAGGTGCAGACAGATTAGTAGGAAAGCCCACCTGGACTTTTGGGACCATATGTAGATGTGAACTAAATGAGTCAAAGGCTTGGATTGATGATTGCTTTATAACTCCAATTTAAACAGTTGTGTAGTATGTACACAGAAGGGGAATTGCCCTCCAGACCTATAAAAATGTTTCTTACCTGAGCCTTCTTACACTTAACAATATACTGAGTAAAGTGGAATAAACCTATTTTGCCTTTGGGGAGGCTGGGACCAGGAAGATTATGTTTGAGGTAAGACTGGGCTCCATAGGAAGACCTTGTCTCCAAAATGCACAAAAGTTTTCTAAATACTGTTTGCTTTTCAAACAGATTATTGAGAGCAGTTTTATTCTTGAACTTATTATTCTGGTAAAACAAAGGAGAGTGAAATGTGACTATATTTGTAGACTTTAGACCGAAGTGAATTTTCAGACTGAGGTGGCTTACACAGTAGTAATTTATTCTACATGCAACTACTTTAACTGATCCTTCCAAGGAATTTTTTTTTTCCAGTTTGGTGAATAAGGATGGGATGTGAAAAGCCCAAACCATAAATTTACTCTTGTAACAATTTATATCTGTACCTGACAACAGTACTGTCAACTGCACATTGTTGTAAGCAGTTTCTAGAACTTTTCATCTTTCATGACTAAAACTCAGAACCCTCTGCTGTTGTCCTCCCGCCCAGCAGCTCCTAGTAACCATCATTTATGTTCTGTTGATAGGAGTTGGACGATTTAAATACCTCATCTAAGTAGAGTCAAAGTGTTTATTGTTGAGTGATCTATGTGTTTGCTAGTGACCATCCTAATGTGTTTAAGGTGCTATCTCATGTGGTTTTGATTTGTTATTTCCTAATGCTTAATGATGATAAACGTGATGATAACACATTTGGGGAAGAATAAGGTTCTACTACCACACTGCAGTGGAATGCCTACTAGAATCAAATACTAAAATATTAGACCTGTAGAAGTCTACTTTAGTACATAACAAAAACAATGAGAAAAAAATGAAGTTCAGTCCTAGAAACAAGAGTGGCATGTACTCTGGAAAGAAGGTTCTGGGGTACAGGAACCAGGTCCATATGAAGCTACTGGCACTAAGATCTCACTTCTAGACCTTGTACTTCATTTCAGCTATTTTATCCCCCAGCTTTCTACTGCATTAGACTTCCTTATTCAGGGAAGGGAGATATGTTAAGTCTTTATAGCCTGCACTGGTAGTTGCCATGGGTGAAACGAGGCTCTGTCCATCTGAGCTCTTTCATCCTTCTATGACTGTGAAATGTTTTACTCAGAAATATTTTAGTTTATGCCTTTCTGCTTAGAAAATGTTCGATTTTTTTTTCCTCTCTGAGGCATCCCTGATAGTAGTGTAGGGGCCCATTTTTTAAGTGTTCCCTTCTCTCTGTACCCCTGGGTTCTTTTACTTAGAACTCTAGGAAAACCGGTTCTTCACTTGAGCTTTATAGTAGAAAATGCACACCTTTCCAACTCGTGCTTTGCCATGCGTGCAAAAGTCCACTAAAAGTTGACCTCTGCCATTTTAGGCCAATATCCTAATTGTTGGATATTTTACTCCTGAATTGCTCTTATCAGCAATCAGGTCATAAATTGTATTTATATAGGTTTTCTGAGAAAGTTATAGATATTTCTAAGGCAGTGGATGGTAGTTAATACTTATTGATTAAAGACGCTAGATACCAATTAAGTTTAGCCAGAGAATTGATTTTAATTTGACCCTTTTTATTGTGGTAAGTATACATAGCATAAAATGGCCATTTTGAAATGCATGGCTCCGAGCAGGCACTAAGTATTCACGTTGTTCTGCAGTCACCGCACTGCTCATCTTCAATGAATTTACTGTTCCAGGTATTTCATGTTAGGGAAGTAATGCAGCATTTGTCATTCGGTGGCAGGCTTGTTTCAT